TAAAGGATATAAATAAAATTTATAATAATGCTGCCATAGTACCATGTTACTCTACCTGAAGTCCTGACCAGTACTCATACTACAGTTACCATCTAAACAGTAACACCTGCTCTAGATATTGCCTTTGAATTATTGGTCTAATATGAGATGTGTCTTAATGACCTTTTGTTGAAAAGAATGCTCGAAAAAACATGCTGATCGTACTTGGGCATGCCGGATATATTATATTTGTTTTTCTTTTTTGAAAATTAGTCATAATAGGAAATACTAATCTACTTTACTGATAAATTCTTTCAGCCAAGCAACACCTCCTGATTTACAGCAGTGGACAGAGATGGCTGAGAGCTATGATAATCTTACTGAATCTGTTAGTACTCTATGTTAAGTTTGGAATGCTTTTTCTAGACTCATTATGACATATTGTTCATGGGTATGAGTGCACTTTGAAATTTACAGGTGAGGATTGCAATGGTGGGAAAGTATGTTGGTCTAACAGATTCATATTTATCTGTTGTAAAGGTGTGTTTGATCTTTCATTTAATGTTTATCACAAGAATAGCAGGATGACAGTATATTTTTTTGGAAAATGAGTAAGATTAGTATATTTACTATGTAGCTATCAACTTGATTTTGAAAATGAGGAATCTGTCATTCATGGACAACTTGATAATAGCATTTAAAATTCTGCTTTATATTTTTTGCTTCAAGTGTGGTTCTTTCCATAAATCTAATGTTTGTGTGCTATCATCCGAATTTCACATTTTTACTACGTCCTTAAAACTGCTTTCCTATTGGTAGTTATTATGCTTCATTGTTTTATATGATCTAAAATGCATACAACAATTTTGGAGCCAATTTCATTGTAGCATGGTGGTTTTTTTATTTAACAAATGAATTTTTGGCTGTGGACAGTCATTTCTTATAACTCAATACAAAGGTTATGTCATTGAAATGCACTGAATAATTTTATTGTTTATTTTTCTGGTTATTTATATTTTATAATGCCTGATTATTTACAGGCCCTTCTGCATGCTTGTGTTGCACGCTCTTTGAAGCCATCAATTGACTGGATTGCAGCTTCTGACCTTGAAGATGACAGTGCAAAATCAGTAATAATTTCTTTCAAATTGCATCTGAAGAAATTAGGTTATTTGTCAGTTGGAAGAATATCAGGCTTATTTTATTTTGTGGTTTTACGCAGACACCAGAAGCACATGCTGTGGCCTGGAAGACTTTGAAGGTAAGCAAACTAGTAGAACATGCAATTTATGAAAGTTTAGTCTATTATACTAGGAGAGTATGGTGGGAAAATGCTGAGACCTCATATTTTTAGATAATGTGATTCTGCTAGATTTTAGGCTTTCTTTTTAGTTGAGGAAAAAACTAATTACATGCTTTCAATGTGTTTATTATCTATGGTGGAATTCTTGGAATATCTTTGAAATTGGTTTCATACTGTACAGGGAAATGTGTATTGCTTTTGAATCTGTAACCACATCTATTTTTGTGAAATTGACACTTGCAGAGCGCAGCTTGTGTGTTGGTTCCTGGGGGATTTGGAGATCGTGGTGTGAAAGGTATGATGCTAGCTGCCAAATATGCCAGAGAGAACAATGTTCCTTACCTGGGGATTTGCCTAGGAATGCAAATATCTGTAATTGAGTTTGCTAGATCAGTAAGTAACATTTTTGTTTGTCATGTTTGGTTCTTATAATACCTGTTTTTATTATTGTAAATTAACATTTATTCATAGGTTTTGGGTTGGGAAAGAGCACACAGTGTAGAGTTTGATGCCCAAACACCAAATCCTGTTGTGATTTTCATGCCAGAGGTATGTAGATGTCTGACCTCCCCCTTTTCCCTATTCTATTTTTTTGTATATTTTGAAATGTCTGTGTCATAAACAGGGTTCACGAACGCATATGGGAAGCACCATGAGGCTTGGATCTCGAAGAACACTCTTCCAGACATCTGATTGTATCACTTCCAAGCTGTATGTGATGTAGCTATCCCACTAGGTAGTATTTTAATGATAAATGAGATAATAAATAAAATCAGGGTACATATCCCTCTAGTGAAATGGCTCACCTCCCCCTCGTCTCCCATTTAAATTGCTTTTCTTATGGTAGTGTCAGCCTATCAACATACAGTAAATCTCAGGCTCCTATTGTCTGGGCTGTTGGTTCTACAGGACACATGTCAATAGTGGGGTCTGCTGGTATATCAAGCATTTCAAAGTGCATCAGGGGATGGTTTGATGTCAACGAAAAGTAGGATTTAGGACTGGTTTATAATTTTCTTTGCAACATCCTAATTTCAAAAGGGCTCTGGGATTCGATTATACAGTTCTACCTTCAATGCAGATGAAGGGTTTCCAGGGAAGGAGTAGCTTGTATTGTTACATAGCCTATTGCCCAAACCTACAGTCTCCCCCTCTCCCAACAAGAAGATAAATAGGATTTCCAGAAAATTCCTGAAGAACTTAAAACTATTTTGAATATCTTGCATGGATATGGATTTGAAATAATGACCCGTGTTATGGAAAATTTGAATGCACATCTAATTTGCCCCTTCATTTTTTCCATATTCCTAATTGATAGGTACGGCAATTCAGAGTATGTGGATGAAAGGCATCGGCATAGATACGAGGTTTGGCTGTGAGCCTTCTTTTTGGTGATTGCATGATCTTTTGGGAGATGTGCGTAGTGCAGGTTTTGTAATTTTACATTGAAACTTTGCAGGTAAATCCGGATGTTATTGGAAATTTAGAAGAAGCTGGACTAAGATTTGTTGGGAAGGATGAAAGTGGAAAACGAATGGAGGTAAGTTTTTAGCTTGGGTAATGTTGTAATGTGAAGCAAAACTAAATTAGAACCAAGGTTGAGAATCTCAGTTTCGTTTCAATTGGAGGTGGTTGCATTTGTTATCGTATTTTTGTGTTTCTATAGTTTATTGTTGCACAGAATTCACTTTTATCACTTGTCTTTCTGCATGACACTGTCTATTTTCTGGATTTTGAAAAATTCTCTCGTGCAGATCTTAGAGCTTCCAAGTCATCCATTCTATGTAGGTGCACAATTCCACCCAGAATTCAAATCACGGCCGGCGAGACCCTCTGCTTTGTTTTTAGGTACTTGCAACTTATAAATTTGCCTTCACATTTTATGAACAATATAAAGAATGAACCGAAAGTCACTTGCACCATCTGCTTTGAGTTAGTAGTTTGTGTCATATGGGTTCGGTCTGTTTGGACCTTTGCAGCACACATTACGCGTGATTGCTTATCTTCCTGACATTACATAATTGTCAGTTGCGTACTTAAGCTAAAATGCCCATTGCAATTTCCTTGTAAATTGATGCTTGGAATTTCTGATGAGTAAAAGATTTCTCTTTTGAAATAACTTTTAATGATCATCTTCAATTCCTGTTTTGGTCATGTCTATTAAACATTTTATGATGCTGCACGTAGGTCTCATATTGGCCGCAACAGGGAAGTTGGAAGCGTATATTAGTAGGCAGAATGGAAGTTGATCTACGATTTGTTACTAGAAGACTCTCCTATAATATCTTCCTAACGTAAACTGATTCTCCAAAGGGAAAATAATTGGGGAGAGGGAAGTGAGTGGGAATTGAAGGAGATAAGGGGAATCATGAAATATTGTATGTGCAGAGCTGCCCATGCTTCTCCAGCTTGGTTGCGGAGTAATATTATTTGCAACTCCACATTCGTTGTTTTATCATCTGAAGACCTAACATTAATTTTTTTAATATTAGTTTAATGGTAAGAAGATGCTTAAAGGAGGTTGCAAATGCTAGTATATCTGCGCCTTTGTCCGAGAATGAAATCAAGCATGGCAGCTAGAATAGCAACTTTGTAGGGCTCAGGTCTTTTTTTTCTTTTGCTTATATCAGCACGTCTTGGCCACGCTCTTATAAATTAATTTAGGGTATGTCCAAACATATCCCGGTGGCTGTTGCTTGGCGTGGATGTAAAACCATGTCTTTTAATATGCAATTTCACTTTTCGTTATCTTTTCGACCTTCATTGCAGAACCAAAAATTATTGACGATAATTCAATATGCGTAGAGGTCCGAAGCAGAGCACAGTTTTTGCTACAATATAAGCAGTTGTTTTCCTTTTGACAGCTGACCATTAAGCTGACATGTACGGGCTTTTGTATCACTGTTTTGATATTATGTTCCCTTGACGAGTTCACCATACCCAATTGTACACGATGTTTTTTTATTTTATTTTCGCGTTAGTTTTTGTACCTTATTCAACTATTGTATGTTGAACCAAGAAGTGATATACATGTGTCCCAGTTTGTCTTGGGCTTGCGTTATCTACATGTTCTATTATTTTGGAAGGGATGAAGTCGTTTGAGGATAAAATTATTACTATGCGTCATATATGACAGTTGATTCGTATGATTTTAAAATTGTCAGAAATTATAGTCGATATTTTCAATCGATTAATATGGTTCATATCGAAAATCCATGTCATACGCATTTTCTATGCCTTCACTTTTAAGAAACTTACAGAAAAAGAAATTTGATGAGAAAAAAATTTAAGGATTAGCTCTAATGATGAAGTAATTTTTAATTTTAAAAAAATCGGTGTCGAGCTAAAACTTAAGTTAATTTGGTAGCATTATTCGTATTATTACAATTCTACCTCTATTTTTACAATGGGCTGTATTTGTATCTTGTTTGTACTCATGGATTAAGAAATTTATCAACTTCCTATCGTCGCACATTTTACGTTGCACAGGATTTAGCTTTTTTCTTCTGGGTGGATACATAGGTCTTCTTTAGATAAAAAAATGAAAAGTAATAATAATTTTATATATTTTATGACAAGAAAGTTTATATTAGAAATTTGGGTTGGAATTTATTGAAATAAGAAAAAATATGAATTAAAAATTATTTTTATAATTTTAAATAAGTTTATAAAAATTCTTTAGATGTAATAAGCATAGGCACTAACAATCACATTCTTCTAAATTCAACAATGAATAACAGCTCTGTATTATTTATTGAAATTATAAGTATGAAAAAAATGTAAATACTAGAACTCAAGGGTAGCTCCCGGTATTTACAACATCCCGCAGTACAACTAGATCTCTCTCTCTCTCTCTCATTATGTGAACCAAAATGTTCTAGCATTGACAATGGCATCAAAACTAAATAGAAAATGAAGGAAAAATGAAGTGAAAAAAAGTGAACCCGTAGTTTGCATATTTTAGAAACATGTTCAACAACTTGTGTCTCTACTGGGTGTTTGATTGTATTGTAGAAGAGAAATCTGGCGCTGCAGCTTCATTTGCTTATAGAATTCAGCAATGAACTCCTCAGCTCGCTTATCTATCCCCTGTGCATCTCCTTGTCGTTCCTCTTCTTCACCATAAGCCATCTCTTGACATCCTTCATAATAATCATGATAGCATTCTTGATCTCGCTCTCCCGCATCTATGAGGGCACTCTTTCTTCCGGTGTCGTACCCAACATTGTCATCATCATCGTTAAAATCATAGTCGAAATCAACATGAGGGTTTATGCAGGGAATGTGAGGCAAGTGGAAGCGCATGGAGGTTGGACGGTACATCTTGACATGGAAGATGGGGGTCTTGTCGAATGAGAGCTCGCGCTCAAAGTAGTGAATATGGCTAGGTGGCGTATTGTGGCCGAGGCGCTTCAAGTACTTTGGAACCAGACGCAGCTCCATCGCCACCCTGCGCCTCAACTCGCCACCTTTACGTGCCCACATCAATGACACCCGCAGGAGGTTCCATGCTCTATGGCCAACGCCACGGTTCTTCAAACCCATGATCTTATCTGTCACTAATAAACGCTTCAATTAATGTTGCTGAAAAACAAGTGTGTATATAGTAGAGTGCTTATTGCAAGTAATGTGTGGAAAGTGCGAAAGTTGCTGATGGAAGATGTTGAGTGCTCTAGAAATAGAATATATATATATATATATATAAGAGAGAGAGATATCTTTCGGAATTTTGGACGCGTAGCGTGGTGGCAGAAAGAGACAGATATATAATTTAGTGTTCACTTTCAAATTTTAACATCAAATTAATCAAATGTGAACGAAGACCGAACTGCCAACTCGTTAAGGACACGGCTACACTGTACGCGGTTGGAATCAAGCTGGACAGACTGCACATAATAATAATTTGTTTACTTACCATTCTGCCCTTTACTCCTATAAGTTATCATTCATTTACCAACCCTACCCACCAAAGTCTAATTGCTAGCGTAAATGATGTGCTAAGATTTTAATTTTCAAACACCATAAGTTTGTAATACATTGTCGCTGTAAGTGCTGTTAGATTAATAATAATAATACTATGATTAGTTCTTCCTTTCTCGTGTTACAGCAAAGGTTTCCAAATCTAAAGTTTTTTGTATTTTAGCGGTGGGGTTACTTATCAGGGAAAAAATGATTTGTTGTGGTTGTTGGTAGCTTTGCAACTTTGCGTAACGGATAAAAATGATAAGTGATAACCCATTGGTAAGGGGCACTTTGGTCATATTACATGACATGATACGCCAAAATAGAGAGAAGGGACCCACAGCCACATGAAATGAAGGCTGCTTTTAGTTGGATTTTGTTGGAGTATACTTGAACGCCGCTTGTAATTTGTGAAAGCTTTAAAATTGAAGTCACAGGAAATTTTAAATACTATATTTTAGACGCAAAGTTTACACACTTTGGGCAAGTAAACGTTTGCTTAATACGGTTTTTATATATGTTAATCAAATAAAGCAAGCGGATCCAAAGCTCCAACAACTATTTGTTCGTTGAAAACTTTAGAAAGGAACTTTCTGTTGCATTGCGCTCGCGTTCATTGTTTACCCACTGCATAGTTCAACATTTTGATTTGTCCCTTTTAAACTCGTACTAATTATTAATAATGAAAAATATGACTCGTGATCCCTTTTCTTGTATGTCTAAAATCATCTTATAGATAGAAAAAAAAAAAAGTAGACCGTCCTCTAATTTTTATATTCATGACAACAAAATTATGTTTTTGTGTGTGTAACTAACAAAGTTCCATTTATATAATGATTCCGTATTCCTTAATAAAGACATAGCTAATTGGTAATCATGCATATAGCAGAAGTTGACATAAAGAAGTCAACGAACATACAGAGCTAATGAACTGATCATCAGAAAACTCAAAACTACCATATACAAGGATGATTGAATGGATACGTTTGGTACATTAAGCAATAGCCTGATCACTTGCATACCGCTTCCAAACTATTTATCTGTTTCCAATAAATATATTTCTGTAAGTTCAGGTAATGACAACATTGATCGATAGAATTAGAGTCAAATGCTTCACATAATTAACCAAAATTATAATTTGTTGATAAAAAAATATTTATGCCTGTCAAACTCTTTTGAGAGGGCAAAGCCAAATATTTATCTACGGTGGGCATCTTTGATTAATATTTTGGAAGCACATATATTAGAGTAATGATATTCACACACACAAATTCTTAATATGTCTCAAACACTTGCAATCACCAATTTATGTATTTCATTCATATGATTTTTATAATAATTATTTAAAAGTTATATATGTACCTGCCTGAGGGTACACTCGTAATCTTCAGGGGAATATGAGGACCGAACGAGAGCTTTAGGTGGATTCTTCGGAGGGGGAGGTACCTGCAAAAGATACTCCGATGCTTAAGTCAGTGTGGGCACGATTTTCTAGGGTAATGAATGAACAGTGACATACCTTGTTGTGTGTGACCTATTTATAGCATCTGACATGGGCCTGAGCGTGATGGGCCCTCTCAGATATTTACCAAATTAGGTAATACGGTACTAATTGGT